AATCATTCTCTGCTGTTATGAAGCCTCATGGGCCATTAGGATGCTCGTGAATGCGTATCCAATGACATCCATCCCTTTTTATGTAGTATAAACCGACTTCAGGCTACCAAAACGCACAAAACGCATTCAGCGGGCAAAAAAAGCTAAAAAAAAAGACATTGCCGGATCCGGGATGCACCCCGGAGGTGGCCCAGCCGCAACCCGCCGCATGGGACCCGCCACACCGCTTCAACTTACTCTTCTTCCAAGTACTTGGTGGACTGGTCTCATTGAATTCACTGGGGAAACTATAGGTAGGTATGTTATTTGTGATGTGTCTATACCCAGACGTAGCTTCGGATCATCGTATGCGCGATCGAAGACGCTGTTCTGGTTTGGTCGCGACAATCGAGTTGAACGCGGCACCTTAGACTCCTACACTCATCGTAACGAGTAATAGATACAATGGATGGGCCACCTTGCGGGTCTCCTTATATGCACGGTAAATTTTATATAGCATATATATTTCCTGGGCCATTTGATGCGTGGCAGCTTCAGTCCTGGATTTGGGCCACTGGGTTGCCACACCACACGAGAGACCGGAGTGGATACCGACGCCGTCTCATTTCCGGCCGACCTCCGGGATATCCCGGATTTTTTTTGGGCTGGCCGAAATGCGATTTCGGGCTCCTGTGGTATCGGTTTGTGCTCTAGGCAGCAGATATGAATTATGGAGACCAAATGAGCTATTCAAAGCACTTCTGGGTTCTCCAATATGTGAAAATCAGCGCAGGAGAGGCACAAACCGAAGTTTGACATGGTCTGCATTCGAGCAGCGCGAACGCGCGACGCGCGTCAACAGACCGTGAACTCTGTGGCAACGGTACACCATACTAACCGTCGTCGTTCTGTGAGAGCGAGCTGGCTGGCCAGCGGCGAGAGAAAGCGCCACACGCAGCTCTGGTCACGAACTGGGTGGCGAAAGCGATAAGATAAGATCGCGATCAGCGGAACACGCTCGCGTGCCTTGCTTCCGCGATCCTCGGCGCCGACTTTAACGAGCCGAGGCGTTCCATGCTTTTTCTTCTTGAGAGGTACTTTCCTGACCTCTTCGCCCCATTCTACGCTCGATAATGTGCTCGATAGCGATGATCCGTCACCGTACATGACCTCTTTCTCCTTTTCATCCGTCTCTTCGGCGCCTGGATGCGAAGCCCTGTCGCTATCATACTCTTCCTATTGCTCCCCGACGCCTGTCTCATTCGACCAACCGTCCTCCGAACAGGGTGTTCATCTCTGCCATCATGATCGCAGTTGTCTTTCTCCTCTAATTTCGCAGAGAGATGAGGATCCTACTCAAGTTTTAGCCTGGCGAAGGATCTAGGACTGTGTGTAGCTGTTGAGTATGCTCAGTGGATATGACCGTGGTCAGTCGTTGGTTTTTGATCTTTGCATCTAGTAGTTATTGTTGGAGGGTCTGAGGAGGTGTTTCAAACAGAAATACACAGTGTGTTGCACGAAGGATGGCGATGGGATCTTCGCTGACCTATCTGCTCTTCCGTCTCTCGCCTGTGCCTCTGACCCATGGTCTCCTTTCTGAGAGTAATTCTGGTCCTGTTGCAGACGTATCGAAGGCTTCACGTTCCAGTATTTCATCTTACTTGTAGCGCACAGAGTGTTTCATCTTCCCTTGTTTGGAATTAGCTGACGAAGTTCTCTCTTTACAGTAATCTCTACCCCTCCGTGCAATATCTCCGATGTTTTGCAGCATACGAGGTTCGTGGGTCCGCTTTATCCATGCGTCGTACGTCCCACCCTTTGATCCATCTTACTGTTCGATGTCATCCGTCATGCTGACCTCTTTACCACGAAGGCTGAGCAGAGGTTATTTAGAAAGAAGAACTTGGGTAGGCTGGCGAGATTCTGTACTGGTGACGTTCAGCTTCTGTTATGACTAGACAGTGCAAGGTATGTTTCTCCCCGTCGAATTGTTGAATCATTTCGCAACCCGTGCTTCCTCCCATGAGTCTAGCCTTCGTATATCCGTCTTTTAGTGTCGATATCTGACTATGTGTGCCTCGTTCGCTTGGTGTAGAGCCTGAGCAGTCATCAAATGCGCCATATCACCTATTGGAAGATGGTCGAACGACACAGTTGCCCCCGTGTTCGAGTAGGTTATATGCGTGCGATATATGCGTGTATGCTGATGTTTCTATTTCTCTTTCTTTAACTGGCATCATACCCGAAAGAGTACGTCTTTTTTCTCCCTCTATTCCTCCGTCACCCACTGCTTCCTTCTATCCTTACCTCTCATCACCGTCGGTTGTTATTGGAGTACCTGCATATGCATCACGCTCTCCAAGACACATCCATATATTGGTAGTCGATTCAGAAAGCCCTCTCCGTGACTCTCTGCTCGGTGGTTACATTTAAATCTTCCTCCCTTCCACTACCGCGTCTATCACAGTCAACGTTTACCGGAAATTCCGTCTTTGTGACTTGGACTTCTCTTCTATCAGCGTATCGAAGAAGATAGTGACTATTCGGGCTATTTCAGGAGGCCAAATCGATCCATCGTCTCTCTCGTTCGTTCCAAGTCTTCCATACTTTCTCTATGTGATAACTGAGCGACCGAGGTTGTATCGAATGTAGGGAGATACTTTCTAACAGGTATGTGACGTACAATAGTATCACAGTATCTCGACATAGTCTCTGACCCAACACATTCGCAGGCCCCCGTTGCTCTCATACTAACCACCGAAATGTACAAAAGGTACCCACTTGACGAATGCCCCCTCGCCGACCTTCTCTCTAAGCTTCTCTACTGCGTAATGCATAGCATACGCCTCCTTACCACGATTGACCCCACCGTCTTTCAACAAGTAGGTATACACCTCCTTCGCAATCACAGGCGCGTCCGCGTCACCGATAGACCACATCGTCCCAAACACGGAGCGATATCCAGCCATGAGCATCCCAGAGGCGAGATGAGCCGCCTCCTCTGGGCGTTTCTCGTCTCCCGTCGCGGTCTGACACGCAGACAGGAACGCTATCTCTGCAGAATCGAAGGACTTGGCCATGATCGTCTTTAAGTCCAGTGGACCGTCGTGCAGGGCGAAGGCGCTCTTGATCGGGTCATCGGGGTGCTGGACCCCGTGACAGGCAAAGTGGCACCAATTCCCTCTATCCATCTCGTCGAGTACCGCAGAGACCGTAGCTTGGTCACTGTTGAGCCACGAGAAGTCTAAGGCGCCGACGCAATTCTTGACAGCCTGGACCTCGGACACTGTCCCAGGTAGGCGACTTTGTCCAGGCGTACTGGGTTGCGATATCGCAAGGATACGCGGAGCGGACTTGGGGTGGTCATTTGATGGTCTGTTCAGCGTAGCCAAGGTCGGCGTGTACGAAGATACGGCATATTTGAAAGCCCTTGGCTGGTCGTGCGTGCTGTAAAGACCCGCAGCGTGAAGGGGAAGAAATGCGAGCGGCCCCGTAGCACACCATGTGATATGGGGTAGTTCTTCAGTCTGCGGTGTAGTCTGTTGAAATTGATGTTGAGAGTAGACTCAAATTTATGGAAGGTATCTTCACGCACCATGTATCCGAGAGCGGAGAGTACTGGACTAACGACGTTGATCCATATAGCCTCTAAGACCTTCTGCATCTTGAGCTTTTCTACGCCGCTCACGAGATGTTTCTTACTGGCACGATCGTCGCGATCTCGGATTCCTGCCTTGGCCAGGGACTTGATCAAATCAAGACGCAGGTTCTTGGCCGTATCGTATGTGAAGTCTGTCGGGAGTGCCACATGAAGAATCGGTAAATCCCTGTTTCGTAAAACGAGGGCATCGCAGCGGCGTCGGTGAACGTTGATGACGACGACTGGTCCAGATCGCGTAGCGCCAATGAGCTCAGAGAGCTGCTTTGGTTGCAAAAACCTTTCGAATCCCTTGATGCGGCGAACCTCCGCCAATAGCCCCTCGTACCTCTCTGCCAGTCTGCGGTGTTTCTGCGCCTGCTCTTCCGAAGAACTTGCAGGACTCTCGAGAGCGACACTGGAAGTTGTCGGCAGGGTAGTTCCCGCCTTCTCCAGCTGCTGAGAAACCTGTTCCAACTGATTTGCCAGATCTCCCTGCTCCGCTGCCCTCAGCTCGTCCATAGGAGAACGTAGACTTAGAATCTGACCCCATACAACTGATCGTCCCTGTTCCAACCATTCAAGTGCGGTATCATACTGCTTCATCTCGATAGCTGCTGCCGCTGCCTCATTCACCGCATCGCCAATAGACAATATATCTTCATAACGACGAGAAACATCTGTTCCGAGCCAGATGATGCGGGGTACGAGACTGATGATGGTCTCGTGAGCCTCAAGACTGGGCGTTCCACGCTGTATCAGCCAGCCTTCAGCCCATCTCCGCGCAGAGCGGAACATAACAAATGGAGGGGCAGACGTAGATCTCGCACTGTCCATAAAGTGCTGAGTTGATGCCTTGATATCATCGGGTTCTCGAATATTACTCCATCGACAAGCGTACGAGTTTCCGAGGTTGCTCAAATATGTGGCCTTGTCTGCATGGCCGCTGGGCATGAGGTCGCTCGCTTGAATTTGTAAAGTGATTGCCTCATCGATATCAGGACGGTCCTTGAACCTTTCGTATCTGGAGAAAAATGATGATCCAAGATTGCTCAAACGCAGAGGGCTCTCCGTGTCGTTGATAGATGTGAGCGCGAGGGCATTCTTTCCAGCAGAGATAGCTTCTCCAATATCGGTATATTCTCCCGAATACTCGAATTTGCGAAGGTAGGATACTCCGAGACTATCGAGGAATTTGACTCTATTCGCATGGCCATCTGGAGTGAGTGCCAGAGACTGCCGCTGTACCGCTATAGCCTCTTCAAGAATGTCAATATCGCCAGTATGTTCGTACCTCCGAAGAAGCGAGTTCCCGAGGTTGTTGAGACGCAGAGGCTTCTTCGCATGATCATCCGGCGTCAAACCTACGGCCCGCCTATGGAGTGCGATGCCCTCGTCCACATCGAGCAAAGTCTTCAATCGCTCAAATCTGCCAAGTAACGCCTTCCCAAGGTTCCCGAGATAAGTAGCCTTCTCAGAATGGCTATCTGGTACAAGCTCAAGAGCTTGTCTGTACAACATGATGGCCTCGTCGATATCCGGTACATTCCCTGTATGTTCAAACTTCCGAAGGAACGCGTTCCCGAGGTTATTGAGCCTGCCAGGCTTCTGCGTATCTCCCTCTGGCGTAAGATCAGATGCCTGCTTCTGGAGCGTAATGCATTCTTCGATATCAGGCAGTTCATCTAAACGCTCGAACCTGCGAAGGTACGAGATACCCAGATCATCGAGACGCGTAGCTCTCTGCGGATGATCATGAAGCATCATGCCCAATGCTTGTCTCTGCAGCGCTATAGCCTCCACTATATCGGGGAAACTTCCGAATCGCTCGAATCTACGACAAAGCGACGCTCCAAGTGCGCTCAGGCCCCTACCCTTCTGAGCACGCCCATCGGGGGCAAGCGTAATGGCCTGTCTGTGAAGCGTGATAGCTTCGTCGATATCTGTGGTATTGCCCAAACGCTCGAAACGGTGGAGGTGACATTCCCCGAGATTATTGATGTGAGACGGCTTAGCAGCATGCTCTTCAGGCGTAAGCGCTACAGCCTGCACATGAAGTCTGATCGCCTCTTCCAAATCTGATAACTTTGCTGAACGCCTGAAGCACCATATGTATGAGTTACCGAGGTTACTGAGGAATATAGGCTTATTCGGAATTTCGTCGGATGTGAGAGAAACAGCATGTTTTTGAAGCTCGATAGCCTCGTCGATATCAGAGAGTGTTCCAAGCCGTCTAAATCGAGATGAAAACGAAGATCCCAGTCCGCTTAGGATAGCAGGTTTCTCAGCGTCATCATCGGCCGCAAGTGTAACAGCCTGCTGCTGAATACGTATGGACTCGTCGATATCTGCGGAATTTCCAGTATGCTCGAACATACAACAATACGACGTCCCCAAAACGCCAAGATACTTGATCTTTTCCGGGTCATCGTCCGACGCGAGGTCCACAGCCTGTCGTCCGAACACTATCGCCTGTTCAATGTCGCCAAGCTTTCCCAAGGCGTCAAATCGGCGAAGGAACGCATTCCCCAGACTATATAAACTTGGGGGGTCATTATGATCCGTGAGTTCCACAGCCTGCTGCTGCATCGAGATGGCTTCATCGGCGTCAGATAGATCACCTAGATGTTCGAATCGAGAAAGCAGAGAGCTTCCGAGGTTCGTGATGCGAGCATGTTTCTTTTCGTGGCCGTTTGGCGTGAGTGATATAGCCTGTCGCTGACGAGATATGGCTTCGTCGACATCTGAGATAGCACCAACGTACTCATATCGAGAGATGAGCGAGGTTCCGAGGTTGGTTAGAGCGGAAGCCTTGGCATCGTCATCGTCAGGCATGATCGCGACAGCCTCATTCAAAGACGAGATGGCCTCGTCCAAATCGTTCGTCTCTCCCGCGTACTTGAATCTCTCGGATAGAGAAGTGCCCAATACTCTCAAACATGAAGCTAGCTCTCTGGAGCCTGGGTCAAAAAACGGCTTTACGTCACGGCTGTAAAGGATCGCATCCTCTATGTCGTCTAGATCACCCAAGAAACTGTAGCGGTATTGCAGAGCATCGGAGAGTTCGAGAAGTATCGGATTGTAGAGACGATGATCTGTGGGGAGAGTATTCAGTGCTTGTCGCATGCCAGATATTTCACGATCGAGTCCTTCGAACTAGAGAAATGGTGGTTTGTCAGTTTTTCTTGTGATAGTGGATGGGATGAGGAATATAGAGGTCACCATTGCGAGAGCAGGGTCCTCGACCTCTGAACCCGTCACATTCTTGGAACGAAGGCACACAGCGTCAAAACGACTAGTGATGAAGGAAAAAGGGCCGATAAGTACGCACGTTCTCTGGTTCTATAGCTTCATACGCATCTCCATCCATGATCTCAGCTTGTTCGTGCGGTGTGGGTGCTTCGTCTGACATCAGGTTCAAGTCGCCTTGGCGAACTGGTGTACGCAAAGAGATAAGTATGCGGATTTCGAAGAAAGCAAAGCAAGAGCGAGCTGACGAGTGAGTCCGGCTGCGGTATCGTTGTTGGGGACAAAGTTGAGACAGCGACGTAGTCAAGGGACGAGTATATATATCGACGGATGGAGGACACTGCCACTGATCGATGAGAGTGAAAGCAAAGTCACAGGTCAAGAAAGCGGCATCGACGGGTTTCAGGGCCACGCATCCAAAGTCACAGGATCTAGATAGCGCTTGTGTGGGCTTTCGTGTAAATAAACATTGTCCCTTTGGTTTGCAAGCTGTGCGGTGTTGATGTCGTACACATCTGAATGACTAGAGTGCAAGAGCTGCTAGTAGTTCCACGTAGGGAGTCTCTCGACCATTGCAATGACTGTAGTATCAAAAGAACTCAATCGCGTCGGGAAGAGTATTAGGGTCAAAGTAGTGTGGTTAATTTTCGGGAGTATGACGAGGCGCCATGAACAATTCGAGGAGCGTAGATGATTCGAGGAAACAGACCGGGATGAACAGTTGAGGTTCGAATCGCAACAGCTCGATCAGAGCTGACCAGAGTCACCAGGAAATATTCAGTAGCGCCCAGTGAGACCATACATCCCAGTACTAGGCCTTGACTGGGCCTGAGGCCTGAGGTCTGAGAGGTCGAGTGGGGGAAGATTTGGACTCATTGGAGAACGCCAAAAGCTTGCCTGAAACATGTCACATCGATGACGTCGACGTTCCGAGACCAGTGTGGCGGTGGCAACTTGGAGCACACATCTGTATTGTGAACCAACCACTGACACAACAAACTGACTTGAACTTTCAGTCATTCTCACAGAATCGTATCAAAGAGAACTGATATTGTCGAAAAACATGACTTTAAACAAATACAAGCAAAGGTAACCGATCCAGATCGCCAGTCTACAGGTCCGACAGATTCCCAACGATATCCTCAGGTCCTACCGTCTTCTCTCCATCCCCATCTTCATCCCAATCAAAATCACCATCCCCGCCCTCGTGCTCCTGACCATTTATGTCATCGCCAGACATTTTCAGCCCCTCACTAAACGTCTTGTCATTCCCTCGCATCGCAGACTCAAACGCGCCGTCATCATCACTGTCCCACCACCCATCCGTTCCCATTACATTTCCGCCTCCAAGCGATGACCTCTTGGTCCTCTGAAAAATCCTCCTTCCACTGGATGGGCTGACACCAAGCCCCTTCAGTTTCTCATCTGCCGCTTCTTCCCTACGTAGAGCTTCGGCCTCGAGGCGTTTAAGGTGACGAAGGTGGAGTGGATCCGGAGCGGATGGGTCGAATGGAGGAGGGGAAACTGGTGAGACGGTGTTGGTAGACATAAGGGAAGTGTGAGTATTGGCGTGAGGAGGCGGCTGAATTTTCGCTTGTTGGAGAACTTGAGATTGAGCGTCAGCGCGGGCAAGCCCTGTGGCGTCCGTATCCTCGACTCCAACTCCTACATCCTGATCGAAACCTCCACCCCCGGAACCTTTCACAACATCACTATCCACGCTTCCATTCGACTCCAAGCTCCTCTCAAGGGAACGCGATCCCTGGTTGAGTAGATAAATCCCCGAACCTACACTCGACCTCGCAACCCCCGATCCGGCGCGAGTACTAGCCGCCGAAACCTCAGCGAACTCCTCATCGTCATCATCAACCTCGAGCGTAAGCTTTCCGAGCTGCTTCTCGAGCTTTGGGAAGGCCTTCTCAAATTCGGATTCAAATCCAGAGTTTGGTTGCGACTCCGGAATATATTTAGTGTCGACCGGGTCCGACACGGTGTGCGAACGGATGCGAGTGAAGGTACGCGTGCGGGTGAAGCTGCTGGTGCGAGTTTGAGTTCCGGATTGGGTCTGTGGCTGAATATTTGATCCGGAATCGAAGGTCCGACCAGATTTGAAGGCGTTTATGGGAGCAAGATTGGAGGTAGACTGGAAGGGCGCGCTGGGTACGTTACTCCTGGATGCCGTGGCGGTGGTGGTGGTGGTGGTGGTGGTGGTGGTGGTGGGGAAGACAGAGAGCATTGAGCTCGTCCGAGCACGATCGCCTTGAGTTGATTTTTCAGCAACACGAGGCTCGGGTCGAGGCTGTGGGCGGGAGGGGCGTGCCCGATCGCGATCGTCCAAGTCTATGCCTTCCTTCCTCGGTGTGGCTCCAGCGTTTTGATCCCGAAGCCGCCTGGTGAGGTCCGCCCATTCTAAGGCCACACTGTCCACGTCATGAGCGCCTGCCATGGCCGTTCTCGCTGCAGCCCTCGCCGCTGACAGCGCTTGAGGAACACGTGGTTCATACTTCGGGTATGAAGAACGCGATGAAGACGCCGAGTAGGAAGGGCGCGATGACGAACCTGCTGCGGATGTGAGTTGAGATATTGAAGGCGTAGATATTCTGGACATACTCGTATTACTTCCAGTCTGGATAGGTTCATCCGACGTCCTCAACGAGTTTGGGCGAGATGAATGCTTGGGAGAAATAGACCTGTCCGTACTAATACTCGCCTTCAGATAGGTATCCTCAACCTCAGGCCTCCCCTTCAGCCCCTGCGTAAGCTTCGCCTCCGATTCGAAAGCCGTAAAGATGTTATTGGCTTTGGATGAGGCCCCAACATCATTCGAGGCATCACCTTCAACGTTCCCCTCACGGTGATCGCGACGGCTAGAACGTACAGAGCTCGACGATGACCTCTGAGCGAGCTGAGACGCTCGATCTTTAGCTGTGGCGCTGGCGCGTATTACAGACTCATTCTTCGGCGCCCAAAAGTCAGTCGAACCTTCCAAGGTAGTTGGATAAGAAGGCCGAATGGGTTTGACGATTTGTTTTGCGCTAGTGGTAGAGTTTGAGCTGTGTTTTGTCTCGTAGATCGATGCGTTGCTGGCAGAGGTGGTGGTGGAGGAGTAGGAGGAAGACGCTGAGTTGAGAATCGACCGTTTGGTGGGCGTGGGTGAGCCGTGGATCTGTGTGCTTAAGGTGGGCGTGGGCGTGGTGGGAGTTAGTTTCCTCGAGGTCGGTATGAGTGGGGTGGGTGTATATTTGGTGGGCGTGACATCGGAAAAGAGGGTGTGGTGCGCGGCAGAGGAGGAAGGGGAGGGCGACGAGTAAGACGACGAGTAAGCCGACCACGAAGACGAAGACGAGAAAGACGAGGAGGATGAAGACGTCGACGACGAAGCAGAGACGATTGTATCTTTCGAGCGAGCGGGGATTGGCTGTATCAGAAAGTACAAGAAAGCGAACGTGTATTGCATTAGCTTATGTTATAGGATGCTCCAAGCTGGGGTTGGGCCGAAAGGGAACAACGCGCGAAAGACAGATAGGGAATGACGGGAGTGCAACACCCTAGGGGGCAAAACGCGAGAGGCAAGACAAGAAACATAGAGAACGACGTACTATCCCAGGTGAACACGGGGGGGTAGAGTCAGTTTTCGACTTTGTCGTCAATTGCGACGTCCAGGCTCTTGCTGTCGTGTAACTGTCAGTCTCCAGATATTTCTGGACCATTCTGATGGCGGTTCCCTCCTCCTTTCTCCTCTCAACACCTACAAACCCGCTTTCTACCATGCGTACATCCGAAGGAGTCAGGTTGGATGTGCAAGTAGGGTAGGCTCTCGAGCTGCGCTGGCTGGGGAGGCGCCCAGGCGAATGAGGAGAGCCGTTTGATCCTGGGGAGTTGGAAGGTGAGTGGCTTTCTTGGTCTTCTGGGACGCTGCCCATGACTCCCATGTCCGCCGAGTCCAATTCATAAAAGACGGCAGGAGTGTTTTCAAAGGTCCTGCACAAGACGACGAAGTCGGGCTAGTGGTGTAGAGCACGATAAGGAATGGATTCAGTGAACGATCAACAAGTGTTCAAGACGTTGTGTAGAAGCTGGACGGAGAGAACAGCAGGGGGGAGGGACAGGAAAGGAGGAAATAGCGAGGAGAATGTGCCGATGATGATGGCTGAAGGAAGCAAACCAACGAAGAGAGAGTGAGACAGAAATGAGACACGCACATCTTCACTCCACTTCTTCAGTCTCATCGCCCTTGACGCTTTCTTCTGTTGTTCCCTTTCTTTCTCCTCCAACTCCATCCGCGTCAATGTTCTATCGCTCATGTCCGAACTTTCCTGCAACGGCTTTGCGCTGGATCCAAGGATTACAGTCGTTGGCCTAGAAGGTGTCGAAAAGCTAGCCTTCCGAGTTCTGGGTGTCTGCTTAAAGGGATCTTGAGGTTCATCCGGTATATGGGCAGGTGCGGGTGTCGAGGCACGGGTAAGGGTCAAATCCCACGAGTGTCGTATCTTGGACCCCTCGAGGGCGGGAAGGTCGTAGTCGTCTTCAGAGACAAGTGTGTGATAGCTCTTCGTGCGCATCAGTGGTGGCATTCTGGTTTACGGGGAAGTTGTCAGTCGAAGTATGTGATGGACGACGAGGTTAGAGGGAGAGGATACAAGAACATAAAATGGGGAGGAAGCGTGCTTGATAAGCGAGGGAGGACAATGGAGGAACCGTAGATATGGCGCTTATCGGATCGATGCGGCTGAAATTTTCTCTGTGGCCCCAGGCGACAAAAGATGGCTCGATGGGTGGCAATACGACGGTTCGATTCGGAATGAAACCCCCAGTCATAACTCGGTTCAATGGTATCACTTACACTGGGCCCTATGTACGGTCTCACCTTTTCAAAGTGGGGAGGACGACGTTTGCGACAGTGAAGCAGGACGGTTCGTGCAGGCGATCCGAAACGGGAAGTCACCAAAGGGACGAGCGGATAAGGGAAGAGCGGCTGGAGATCGACGTAAGGACGTCTTCTCTTGCACGCGGTCTTATCCGACGATCTAGTCCGTTTGCGGAAGGTTCACTTTAATGCTACTACGTGGACGAGTATTAGGATATAGGTCGAGGAGAACAGTGTGAGCAGCTAGGAGCATTTTTCCAGTGAGCATTTTCGAGTTGTTCGAACGGTCGTGGTTGTGGCCAAAGTTGGGCCAAAGCGCCTTGAAATTGCCTTGAAAGCACCAGCACAGGAATACAATTGAAATTCGGGTGCATGACGTCACGCGTTCTGACCGTCTCTCGGTGGGCGCATCTTCCCTCCTACGCTCAGCCGAGTCCGTCATGCCCAAGTCCTCCTCCTCTCCTCCCATTGAAGCTCTCTAAGTATTCTATGATAAGCGTCTCGCATTATTTGGCACTACTTACATATACTGTAGTTTTTCGCGCACAAGTTCGTGTCCCGTGTCCCATGGGGGCCGCGAACGAACTCGTGCCGCGGGACAGTCCCACCCCATTGATGTGCACTGAACTTGTAAATGGGACAAACCAAAATTTGGTGCAAATTTGACAAAAATGCAAATATATTCTATGCTCCTAAAGTGACCTCAGAAAGGCCCCCAAGACACACTTTGGGCTAGATTTTGCCACTGGGTGAAATATTTTACCCAAATGCATAGGATAAATGGCTGCTGAGCGGTTGTGAAAGGTCGTATTCCTGGAAAACTGTCGATGTTCACGAGCATTGTCCCTTGTCCCGGTCTGCTAGCGAACCGGGACACGAACGGATTATGTCATCTCGGCAACGGCCGAGGGGCGGTGGCGTGAACTTGTGCGCGAAAAAGTACAGTATGCTGGAACTCGTGGCCATTCTTATTCGCTGCCAAGGTTACCATTTTATGTGACACAGCTTAAGCCTTACCCTGCCTTACCTTGGTGCCACTTCGATATGGATGACCACTGTTGTTTCGGCCGACTCTGCACGAGTTTCTACGAATTCACAAGGATATCTGCCATGGAAAAATACGGCGAGAAACGATGGCGATAGCAATGCTTAAGCGTCCGAGAAAGGTTGTTGATGTGTGAGCCATCGCTGTAGTTCTTCTTGGATACTTAGTGGTTTTTTCCACTCATCGCGTCGGCGTGCAACGTGTGCATGAGGAGCAATAGTACGAGTCGGCGGGATTCCTTGGTAATATGTTCATCTTCTGCCCTCAGCGATCTGATGTGCGTCGTTCTTTGGAATGAAGGCATAAGCGATCCCCTTTTGTCAGACATGAGCTGACTTTCAGCTCATACACCGCATTCCTCCATCACTCGCACTGGCCGTTTCATATGCACACGCCTTTATACTCCCTCACATCAGAGTAACTCATAGCCGCATAACGCATGTCGACGTGCAATACTCAGCGCGTAATCCTTGATCTTCTTTGTGCTCATATGTGCAAGCCCCCTCAAATCGACACCATGTTACTGTCACTCGTTTCATCGAGCTCCGTCTCAATGTTCACATGCAGGCCGGGATTACGGTGATAGAGCCTCATCCCAAGGTTTGCTCGAATTCTTCTACGTTGTATTTCTGAGGTCTGGGTGAACCTGTATATCTCAGCCTTTCTACCCATCGGGGAATGAGATATGAGCCTCGTGTTCTTCAACTCGGATATACGTGAGCTATGGCGTCCCGTGACGATGCAGAGTCTACAAAGACACTTGTTTTGTTTTCTTTCTCTACAGTGTTTCGAATGGAACCACAAGCGGAGATGAAATACATGATTCGGGATTGCCCTATCGTCGTGCTAGGATACGCGGGTTGCAGAACCAAAGAGACTGTCGTCAAAGTCAACGAGGTGCCGCGAACAGTTGGGTGGTGTGGCGTAAAGACACTTGATGACACTCGTCAAGTTTTAAAGAGTCGGGCCAAGGTGAAAGTATCATACAACTTAGGAAGTATATATACAGCAGTAAATCGGAAACACAATTATGGTACTAGATGTTGGTACAATATGTTACAAAGCAACCAGAATAGTGATGTGCACCGTCCAAGAAAAGTGGGAACTATCCCCACGAACATGATAACCACTTTAAATAACCTCCACTACGACCGTCCCTCTTCACATCCCTCTCATCCCACCACCTACTCCCCCGTACGCACCCGCACTCGGCCCTTGCCCCTGTCCACCGTCTCCATACGCAGTAGGAAACTGATGATTTTGATTATTGTGCATCTGGATCTGCTCCTGCGCGCTGAGTATCGGAAGACCAGGGACGATCTGTGGTGCCGAAGTGGAACTGAGGTGATCTGAATTCGAGGGCGATGGGAGTGAGTTGGGGAGCGCGAAGAAGTCCAGGCCGCCGGCGCTGGGCCACGCCGAGAATGATGTGTTCGACGACATCTGCTCACACAGATAACGAAAGTCAGAGAACGAGCATAGAGGCGAAACAAAGAGGAGATAGCTTACAGGTTGGCTGTCGGCACTGGTATCCATTGGCATGAACGACGAGAAAAATTCGTCCAAAAACGTCGTAGAAGCTGGGAGCGGAGGCCCCGGAATGCCCTGCTCGAGCGGGAGTTGGTGCTGGTATACGTTCGTTCTGGGCGGGACACCACCGTAGGGAGTCGCATCTGCACTTTCCGAACGCATTCGGCTGGGAGGTAACGCCGCACCCAAGTACGGCGGGATGGGCGCTGGAGCAGTGTGTACGGAAGGTAATGTGGCAGCCGAAGAGGGATATTCGACCACAGAATGCCGTGGGCCCATTGCTGGGGCGTGTGACGGGCCAGCTACAGGGGCATGAGAGGGACCAGGCGCCATGGGTGGAGGGTGCAGCCTGATTTCGTCCGCATCTGGCTCCTCCTGCTGCTGTAACGCATTCGCGCTCTCTAGCATCTGCATCAAAGCTCCAACCATCTTTGGTGTCCCCGGAATCTTCAACCTGATCCCATGCGCCAAAATGGGCAGCGTCGTCTCCAATCTCTCCCTAGCTTTCTCGGCCCTCTTTCCGCCCCATCTCCCACCACTTCGCCTCTTAACCTTGCTCGTACCCTTCTTGGACGATCCTTTCGCTCCGTCCTTCTCGCTACCAACGACGGCCTGGCTCTGACTTGCGCTGATGACGTCGCCCATGTCGATGGTGGCGGAGCATAGTGCGGCATACACGAAAAGGTAGGTAGACCGAGCGACGGGGAATGAACTCTTGAAGAGGCGGAGGCAGGCGGCAATATCTTGGGCAGACTTTCGGCACGCTGTGGCGGCGTATGGGACGGCGAGGGAGCCGGTTTGGGCGAAGGGGCGGTAAAGGAGGATCCAAATCGTGTGGACCAAAAGACTAAACCAGATTGACCATGGTCAACGCTAGGGCTTACGCCGAAAAAAGCCAGAAATTGTCGTGAAAGCTTACTTGAACTGTATGACGTGCGCCGGTGGCGACACCGGTGGAAGGTTGTCCGCGTCAAGGAGAATTTCGACGGGCACCTGAGCTTGCCACGCTATCATGCGATCTCGCATACTAAGAACGAAATCGCGAGCTTGAAGGAGGCGGGACTCTTTGATGGAGTAAACGTGCTCGAGTACTTCGTCGAGGAACTGGAAACAATGAGTTGGTCAGTTACAGACACAATCGACGAACGAAGTCAAGGTGTGTAATTACCTGGTAGAGTGAGCACGAACTTGGTGAAAGTCAGCACCGTATAGATTGCTGAAATAATAGGAAGCTACCTACTATCGGAAGCATCTCATCTCGAAGGACGGTTGGGCGCCAGAGTACGGCTTTGTCGTGAACTCCGCGTACTGCACTTCCGAATAGAAAGGTCTCCACAAGGTTACTCCATCATCGACAGCTAATCATGTTACAGCCCCAATGACCGGTGGTTAGTTGATTGACAAAGGAGGACGAGACCGAAGGCGTACACGGGAGTGGAGGCTTCTCTTTCGGCCTTAAGGTAGGCTTTTTTGCGAGGGACAACGACAACGTCCTGAGACAAGAGTAATGCGCCGTGTTAGTAAAGGTGATTGGCCAAACGATCGAGAGTGAGGAGGCGTACTTGTCCCACGTATATGCCGCCCAATACGTGCATAATTCGGCCGTCCGTAGCTTCTCGGGTTGGCCTTCGTAGCTACGATTTGGTCGCTCCCACGCAAGGTCTATCGCAGGAGATGGTCTGTCACACACGAGTGCCGAAAGAAAAGTAATCTGAGATCGGTATTTACCTTCGATCATTCGGAATGCGTAGCCGGCCATCACCCATGCCTGAGAGTACAGGCCCTCAGCCGCATTGTGACCAGAAATGAGGAGGAGACCTGGTCGAGATAAGCGCGCAGGCTCGAAGGATATACACCCAAGCGAAAAAGACCGACCTTGAACGGTCGCAATCGCACTTGGCCTGCTGAGCTCGACTGCCAGGAGTAAATGGGCCCTCGCCTGAACATAACACTACCTGCGTCAATACACAGTCGAATACAGTAGAAGGACGAGAGATTACCCACCGCAAACTCATGGAGCCGATCTCGCATCTCCGGTATATGTCTCGACGCCTGGGAGTAGATGCACCAGAGGAGGAAGTCGTTGCAGAACGTAGGTTCGCTAGAGTGGAGGCTTTCTGACCGAGGCAGATGGTCAATACGTACATAGATCGACTGATTGATGATATGGTCCACGTACCTTCGAAAGCAGGTCGATAAATGACCTCGTACCGAGGATTCTGCCAGCTAAAGAACGAGATTAGAATAAGAAAAAGGAAGGAGGATGCCTACGCACCAGAAGTAGCTCTCCATCATCAACTGGCTTTCTGCTAAGGTAGGTATACGGAATTCAGAGAAGCTATTGACGGCGACCGCGAGTAGTCGATTGAGTGCGTCCTGGCGAAGAGCAGCCGTCTCCTTGACGGACGAATCCTCGTCCGCTGCTCGGTCAAAAACGGCAATGATATTTGAGGTCTTGGTGGACTCTGCACTGGTCTGTCAACCAAAAAATGCGTCAACAAGATAGGCACAACCTAACTAGAACAAAGACATGCAGAAGAAAAAGGCACGCACCTCGGGAAGACTGCTGCTATCATCCAACTTGTCCTCCTCGACCTCCTCCTTCTTCACCAACTTTCTCCGCTTCCTCGTTGACACAATCGGCTTGTTGACCTCGCCATCATCTCGCTGCTTCATCCACTCCATGAGCATCCGCTCCCGGTCATCATCTCCGGCGCTCGCGAGTTGTTCGATGAAAGACTGTGAAGCTTCTGCCGTAGCTATGGCGCTTTCGAGCCTCGAAGCTTCTCCGGACCTGCACGAAGCAATCGATTCGAGATTAAAATGAAGACGAGATGATCAGAGACCGAGGGCACCGAATCTATCACGAAGCCACGCACCTTGGGAATACACACGGAATCCCCGCCTGAGGACAAAACTTACACAAACTCTCTCCATTCTCTCCCTTCCCATCGCATCTCCTCTTTCTGCGCCTACATGCCTCACACGATGCTGCGTATCTTCTCTTTCCAGTGCGCGTATCGACGTTCTTGGAACCGGTGGCTGTGGCTGTGTCTGCATCGTGTCTAGATGCAGAATTCAAGCCTGATCCTGAAGCTGATGCGGTTCCAGATGGCGAATTGTCGTCATGTTGTTGCGGTTGTGGAGATTGTGAAGCGTTGTGGAAGTTCGAGTGAGAGTTGGAACCGAATTCGAAGCGAGGAGACGACTGTTGTTCTGGCGGGGAAAGCGAGTGTGATTGCGATGGGGATTGTGATGGTGAAGAGGGATGTTTCGGCATCGGACACGACCAGGGCGGAGAAAAGCAGATAAAAACTTAGGATACGTGTGAGACTCACACGATCGAGGACGAGTGTGGGGTGCAGCCAACAATCTCCGTCGTTTGCTCAGGGGCGCTTGCCGGTGTGTGTCGTTGTTTGCGCGTCGTTTATGTACTCGACGCGATATACTTGCCCCGCCGATCCTTGGCTGTATCTCCTTCGAGTAGGTCAAGCTACCGTATGTTCGATGGGTCGATGGGTCGAATCGATGAAGGGATATGCTTCGTGTAGTGTTGATGCGGCAGCTCAGATACGTAGCTCAAATTTATGTGCCCACAACAAAGAGATCAGAGACAAAGGACGATCGAGCGAAGAATCATCCTTAACAGACTCCAAAGATAACGTTGTGGATTCAACAAAGGCGAGAAAGGAAGAATAAATATAGGACAGAACTCAAACCATCGTAGCAGCGGGTATGAAAAGATCGTTTGATACATGAGTCGTTACGAGAGGATTCCTCACTCGACAATACAGACCTACCAAGACAATGGCCTACGAAAGAAACCAATCACAACCCCAGCCAGCCCTTCTAGACCGCCATAATCTCCCCGACCTCCAACAAATAAGCCCATTTCGCATCCTTCCTCACCTCGATCTTCCCATCCTCCGCCAAAACCTTATACTCCTCCCACTCCTTCGTCCCATATCCCTTTCCACCCGTCTCTTCACTCAATCCCCGATTCACAAACTCCCTCAGGTCAGCGATCCAAGCCCTCATCGCCTTCTCCTCTTCGTCCGTCGGCCCGTGCATGATCGAGAAATTCCAGATGGGCTTGTCGAAAGCGTGGCCGACGCCTAGGGTGACGGGGGCGACGCGATCCATGAAAGAGGGGCGGTAGGAGATGAGGTAGCGGTGGACGCGGGAAAGAGGGACGTTTGCGTTGCGGAGTTGGTCAATTAGGAGGCGGGAGGGGGCACGAACTTGACCATCGGAAACTGGGGTAGGTGAGAGAGCGAGTAAGGACATAGCACTCGGAGTGGGAGAATGGGACAAAGAGCGATAGAAAAATAAACATACTAATATCCCCATACACCTTCTTCCATGCGTCGATATTCGGGTCTGGGTCTGGGTGTGCGTACGGAAGGTGAACCTTGCGCGTGAGGTAAGCGTCGATGAGCTTGTCCGTTACGTGCGACGGGTAGTAGTTCGAGACTTGAAGATGTAGGGTCTCCAGAGAGTCCGGTGGGTTCGTTTGACGGTAAATAGTTTCCTGTGTACGGGCAAAAATCGCATGACCGATCAGTCCATCTAAGCGGCGCAGAAGCCGATGGTGAGGTACGACTCACCTCGTCGCGAACTTCACCAATCAACAACTCCAACCGTCTCCTCTCGAACTCCTTCGCAAAGTCTCCATTCTTGAACCTATCAAACAGATCCGTTGGGAAGAACGCGCCGTCCAGCACCGGTCGAAAGGTATGCATCTTCAGTCCCATGACTTTGCTGGTGAGTTCGCGTGCGGGTATCGATCGGAGCCGGGCAAGTTTCTCGGGACCGGAGAGGGAGAGGGGAATGGAGCAAGCGGTGAGAAGCTCCTCGAACTGCGGTTGGACGTCGGAGAGGGACTTCGGAGAAGTGGGGATAGCATTGGAGTACCTGACGTCGCCACGGATACACGGTCATATCAGTAAGACAAAGTTTCCAAAGGCACAGACAGGGTGAGTGAGAAAAGGTCAAGACGGTACCGTACATGATCAACCGGTTAAACATCGGTGCGTCCTCCTTCTGCTCGTCCTTCCTCATGAAAAACTCATGGCAGACCTGCGCATGCACGCTATACGCTCCCGCACTTCGTCCCGCCAACGTCAACTTCTCCCTCGTATTCCCGCCGAACCACTTCCCGACATTCTCGTGCACCCAGTCCAGAGCTAGCCTCTGGTCCCATAGGCCGTAGTTGCCCCAGAAGTTCTCTTCGCCAAGAGACACAGCCTCGGCAGCGAGTTCGGAGGATGCGAGAAAGCCGAGGGCGGAGAGGCGATAGGCTGAGGCGATGAAGACACATTGGAGCGCGGCGCCGGTGGAGGAGATGAGCTCGGTAGGATCCATGTTGGGGTCGACGGAGGCATCTCCTACTTGCATCCAGCCGCCTACGAGTCCCTCATTAGCACTCGGACTGTGTAAAAGGTATAAGATACGAAAAAAAACATACCGTGGTACCACAGCACCACAGGCCATCCACCCTGTGGTGGTTCGCCCGCCGGCATCCATACATTCAAGGTCAAACAGTCCTCATCGTACTTCAACTTCTCCTCCTCCGGTTCATCGCTGTTACCCAGACTCGTATACTTCCCAGGCTGCGGTGCTAGAGGCCCGAACTTCGTACAGTCACGAGCATCACCATAGTGGAAATCGGAGGGGAGAGGACGCGGTTTACGCCAGCGGTAAGGACCAGTTGGCGGTAGGGCGAAAGGGATATTAAGGAAGCGTTTGACTTTATTGTCGTAGCTGAGACCGTTGAGAGAGCCTTGAGAGCCGAGGTCAAGAGTCGTGGGGGTGACGGAGTACGAGATGTTATTTCCCATCGTGTACCACACAAGCTATTCAGTGCAAGCTCAAGAAAAAGCAAGTCGTGATGGGGGAAAGTCAAAGACGAAGGTAAAGTCCGTCCAGCCGAGAGCAGCCATGACCCTCAAGAAGATATGTTATCGCACTATTATTTCTGGCGTGCTCAGTAGCTAGCGCAAAAAGCGAGAGAGCGGATGGAGTACGTGTGGCGAGAGGCGGTATGCAGCGGATTTAGTGGCGTTTCCCGATACCGACTGTTGCCGCCGGCTCGGCTACGTCCGCGCGGCCGCCGGCATTTTAGACGTCTTCACTTTGTTCTTTCCTCGCCACAACGAACGCGAACAATGCCGACTCTCGTTTTGATGTCAAATCTTCTAGGTCTGCATGCTGGGCTCAGAGGCATGTCTTTCGAGATTGAAGTCGAACTTTCCCCTCGTCTTGTCTTTTTCCTCGCAAAGTCTTTCTCTGGTCATGGCTGTCGAACTCCCAGAAACCGCCCCCATCCTCGCCACACCTCCAGCAACGTCAGCTTCGTCGACGAAACCCACGAGTTCTTGTCCAACCGCTGAGCCGAAGGATGACTTCTCTCATCTTGCTCACCATCTCAATACGCTAAGCCGTAGCCGAGGGAAGAGTCCTTTGAAGGATATTCTTCAATACATGACCCTCGACGGGATGATCAGTCTCGCTGGTGGTACGTCTTACGGCTTTCAATACTTGCGCGAAGTCAACGAGCCCTGACTTCGTATACGTATTTGGCGGTATGTGTATGTAGGTCTCCCCCACCCAGACTTCTTCCCGTTCAATTCGGTTGAAGTCCAGGCATACAAGAGCAATACCCGAGTAGACCCCGATGCGCCCCCGCCAGAATATATTTCACTCACCGTGAGTGATTCGGCAGGCGCAAAGGAACTTACCGACAATCTCCAATACGGTCCGTTACCTGCGTATTTCTCACCTCCCCACCCTCGACTCATGCCTTCCAAACTCGACTGAACTCGGTGTCGTCCGACAATCTTCTCCCATAGGTCAGGTCTCCGGCAACCCCGCCCTCGTATCCTTGCTCCACAAACTCGCACTCGAGATCTTTAAGCCTCTCCACCCCTCCCACTACGAAATCTTGCTCAACTCCGGCAACACCGACGCATGGAACAAGATCGTTTCCCTCCTCCTGGAGCCAGGCGACTCCGTCTTGGTTGAAGAACATACTTATCCGAGCGCACAGGCAGTATGGATTCCGATGGGGATTAAAGGCGTGCCGATTGATATGGATGGGGAGGGTATGAAGCCGGAGGTACTTGAAAAGGTGATTAATTCGTGGGACGAAGGAATGAGAGGAAAGAGGCCAAGGGTGTTGTATACAGTGCCGGTGGGCCAGAACCCAGTTCGTCAACTTTTCTTTTCTTCCTATCTACCCCATAACATGCCCACTACGTCCACTAAAACCGATACGTTGTGCAATAGACCGGCGCTACGATGCCCGCGGCGCGTAAAAAGGTCATTTACGACATCTGTAAACGCCATGATATAATCATCGTCGAAGACGACCCATACTACTTCCTTCAACTTCCTGCGTATAAGCTCCCTTCCGAGAACTCTCGTGCCGACAATTCGTCGTTGGAGAAATTGGACATAGCGAGCTTGGAGCCGAGTTTCTTGAGGTACGACGAGGACGGCAGAGTCATTCGGTTAGAGTCGTTCAGTAAGGTACGTGCCGACTTGTTTCGTGTTTGTATGAGGTGTTCTATTTAATTATTCGGTTCGAGTAGACCATCGCCCCAGGAAGTCGTCTTGGTTATTTTGTTTGCAACCCACTTTTCGCTGAGCGTCTACTCCGCGGGTCGGAGGTTATGTCTCAAGCGCCAAGCGGTTGGAGCCAGGTACGTCCATATCTTCTCCTATCTCTAGTTCTGTCTGGGCACGTACTCAGTCCTCATCGTTTACCGAATGCGATCTTCAGGCGATCGTTCTCAAGCTCCTTCAATCCTGGGGCATTGATGGATACCTCGAATGGTTGCAGAATCTTCGCCACAGTTATGCGGTGCGACGTGATTGGATGGTACGTTCATATTGTACACTTCCGCATCATCGCTGACTATGTTTTACAGTGCGACGCCCTGAACGAATACTTCGACCTGAATACGCCGAGTGGCAGTATTGAGACGTACGCGTACCTCAAGAGCGTTTCGTCCACCACCACGACGGAGAGGAAACCGATATTTAGCTTTACTCCTCCAGCGGTACGTTCACCAGAATCCACCTTATCTTTTCTCCTTTCGCTCCGTATCATCTGATTATTTAACTAACGCTTGATTATTACGATCGGTATTCCCTCCAGGCCGGAATGTTTATCTACCTCAAGTTCCACCTCTCTCACTTGGCGTCCTTCCAATCCATACTCGCTTCACAACCTCCACCACCGAGCGCAGAAGACGAATGGGTCGCACAAACTTGGAAGAAGCTCGCTGACGCGAAGGTATTTTCCTTGTCATCCTCCTCGTCTCATTCCATAATTCCCATCCTCTCCTCTCTCGCTCTCCTTCCATTCATCCTTCGCACCTCGCCCATGTTCGTGTGAAGTGACGCAGCTACTAACAGCAGGTGTTTGCTTTACTCCGAGTAGGTTCTATTGACGCCAGGGACGTACTACACGCCCTTCCAGGGGGAACCGTCTTCTACAAACCTTATGACGCCGCGGGAGAAGGGCGTCGCCTTTTTCAGGCTAGCGTTCAGTTTCGTCGATGTGAGTTCACGTCTTCGTCGACTTCTCTTTCCTCGTGTGTTTTGTTTCTTTGGACGACAAGAGCGCTGACGAATGTTTGTAGCGCGACGAAATGGTTGAGGGAATTAAGAGGATGGCGAAGGTGCTGGAGGATTTGTGAATTTCGGCTGTGATCATCATAGGATGTACTGCGCCAAAAGAGCCCGCCGTATGTTTCGCACAATATTGTATCGGTGTTTTTATCCCATTGTATCGCAATCAGATGCTCTACTTCTTCTTCCATGCACATATGTGTGCGTCTACTCGGAGACTTTCCATCTTGCTAGCATGCGCTAGGCGATGTTGCGTACAGAACATCTATTTTTGTCGCCGACAGATGTGTTTCCTTACTACGTACTATTGGTATGTGAGGTCCACAAATCTTTTTAGTTCCGTAAAACACTGCACCGGATCACTTCAATGAGGCCAAACGTGGACCCACAGATGCCAGGGTGTGGCCACTGAACCTTGTCCTGGTCAGAGACGAGACGCCCGAGATATCGATGTTGCGGTATCCTTGAGCGCTGGAACATATGTCCTCTTTTTCGGAAGGATCTATTGTGCCACGAATAGTTTCAGTTATCTGAGCTTACAGGAAAACGGTATAGAGTTGAATATCCTCTTGCACGTAGAGCGGACGAGGCAAGTATCGGTATGAGAGTGCACTTGGGCTTCAGCCACAGTCGCTGAGACACAGACGAATCGGAGCTTGAAATGCGGGACTGTGGCCGTGCAGGGTGCCTTTAGTGGCCGAAAACCGAAACATACCGCCCGCTCGCCCTGGCTCGCCGTGACGCGCGCCGTCGCGATAGCCTGCTTTAGCTTCGTATATCACTCACGGCGAAGCGAGTCTTGGAGAATGCTCAGGTGCTCGCTAGCTTCTCTCTATCCCTCTGTCGAGTTCAGTTGAAGCGCGTTCAGTAAAGCGACCTTCAGCATCTCCAGGGAACCTCGAACTTGTCGTTCTTTGACTCTCGACAATTTCTACGCTCTTTGGTTTGTTGTCTTCGCCTCTGATGTCTGGACAAACACCAACTATGGTCACGAGGCAGCATACCCAGGAGTCATCGTTCAATAAGGAGAAATCTGAGAGTTCGGATCCGGTCATCAATGAAGTACCACTCGACGGCGAAGATTTGGCTGTCGATACCGCGAAAGCTGCAACGCAGGGACAGTATTCGGAGGAGGAGTTCACGAGGCTGCTCAGGAAGGTCGACAGATATCTGCTTCCGTTGATGTGGGTCTGTTATGGGTGAGTCGCATTCGTTTCTTGTTGCGCATTCCTTTGTTGGGGCTGGAGTAGAGAGCTGAGTGGACGTCTCGGTCATAGAGTTCAACAAGCAGACAAGACCGGTCTGAGTACGCAAGCAACGTGAGTCCCAGGTTCGCTACACATCTTCTCAGGAACTCACGGTGTCCATAGGTTCGGCATCAAGACTGATACCCACCTCGTCGGCCAGCAATATTCATGGCTTTCCACCATCTTCGTGCGTACACCCTCTAAAGTTATTCGTAGTCACGAGTACTGACCTGTATCTCTTCCAGTACATCACATATCTGCTCTGCGAATTCGTGAGTACTTCAGGCCTCCCAGTGGTCTCCCGTGTACCCACTTATCGTGCTCGTATGTAGCCCGCGAACTGGATGATGCAGCGTGTGAACATTGGCAAGACCCTTGCCTTCCTCATCTTCATCTGGGGTGTCATTGTTCTGTGTACTGCGTTCGCAAAAGACTGGGCAGATCTGATGGCTCTCCGCGCGCTCCAGGGAGCTGCTGAATGCACCATCTCGTGAGTAGTTCCTCGGGCTCGGCCTCCTGTCTTTCTCAAGCCAATGCCTGACCCCTGTTTCTGGACTTCTCTAGCCCGGCGTTCGTCATCATCATTGCGTCGTGGTATACCCGGCGTGAGGTACGCGCCACATGATCATCGAGTGGAAATCTTAAGAGCTACTCACGGCGGTTTTCCATCATAGCATACGATGCGTTTCCTCATCTGGGCATCCGCAAACGCCGGGTTTGCCATTATCAACGATCTTTGCATGTATGGTATCGGAAGACATGCCCAAAGCCATGGGGGTCTCGCCGCCTGGAAAGGGTACGTTCATTATTCCTCATTATTTTGTCATGTCTAACGCTCTGCGGTACGTTTGCTGCTGCAGGATCTCATTCTTCCTCGGTGGAATTACTATCGTCCTCTCGTTCTTCGTTTTCTTCCTCCTCGGAACCCCTCGCGAAGTCATGTGGCTCTCGGCTGATGAGAAGAGGATGGCTGCGGCTCGTATTGCAGTCGACCAGACTGGTTCGGACAGACAGAAGAAGGCGTGGAAGAAGTACCAGGCTTGGGAGGCTCTCGCAGATCCACAGGTACGTTCCTTTTTCTGGCCATGCGTTGGATACTGCCGGTATAACTTAATTGCTGTATGGATAGACTTGGTTCATTTTCGTCATCGTCATCGTTTCGGCGCTACCTAACGGAGGATTGACGACCTTCGGTAACTTGGTCTACGTCTCCTTCGGGTTCAGCAATCTCGATGTATGTACCGCCATCTTGATATCTCATGTGTCCTTCCCGATCTCGCTTTTCGTGAACGCAGATCTGATCCCTATTTTCTTTGACCGACAGACTCTCCTCGAAGGAACCATTCCACGTAACGCCCTATCCGTTATCTGGTTCCTTTCGATCGGCTGGCTCTCCCTCAAGCGCAAGAACATTCGCTTCTGGATCATGATGGCCTCTACCGTCCCCCTGTTCGTCGGTCTGCTCGGCGTTGGCCTACTTCCTGCCGAGTCAAAGTACCTCTGGTCGAAGTGGGGCCTTTACCTCATGAGTGTAACGGGCAATATCAACGGCCTTCGTAAGTTGTACTCTCCCGCTTTCGGTTTTACCTTTCGTTCTCGGCCGTTTTTGTCGACGTGAGGACTAACTCCTGACTACACTCTTTTTAGTTATCTGGACCTTTGTCGCTTCGAATGTCGCCGGACGTACCAAGAAGTCCGTCGTCAGCACCATCATGTTCATCGGCTACTGCGTTGGGAACGCCATCGGTGCTCAGATGTTCCAGGCGAAGGATGCGCCACGATATGTCCCTGCGCTCATCGCTTGTGCAGTCCTTGCCTTTGTGCAGTTCTGGATGCTTCTTGGTACGCAGCCTCGACCTTTCTCTCATCGTTTACGAGGTGTATCCGCTAACAAAAGACAACGATTGACGTTTGGCTGTAGCTTGGAGGACATACTACGTATTGCAGAACAAGAAGCGGGAACGGGTAGCTGAGAAGGAGGGTATCACCGAGGAACAGAGAGTACAGCTCGGGGCGATCAACGGAGAGCAGGATATGACAGATCTAGAAAATCCTCAGTGAGTATATCCTCCTTGTTTGATTGTTTTGCGAGGAGCAAGGCACTGACAACTATTGTATAGCTTCCGATACGAGATTTAGTTCCTCTTGGCATGTACATACATGGTGCGTTTGACCGTCTTCCTTCGTCCGTTTTCCAGGCATTGGCCTTTTTTCATGCGTGGGTCCTGACCCGTTTTACGTTCTATCTTTAGGTTTCATCTCATCGTACATCTATACCTGTTTAGTCTTCTTGGTGGTCCTCTTGTGTACATCGTACTCGCCTCCGCTCATGTCTGTTGTCTTATTTTCGAGATAATTGTGACTTTACCCCCGAGTGCGTGCCACGCCGTTACGGCCGTATCCCTTCACGGTGTCGTGTCTCCACAAGCACAACCCTTCCTCCTCTGTGCAGACGGTTTGCATGATCGCCCATCGAACAATTATGGGCCATGAATTTCATTGAGTGGCTCACTATCAGTATAACTGCCCAACCGCCTGCTCTGAGCTTTTGCTTTACGTGTCAACGGCGAGCAAATGATGGTGCTTCTCATGTTTCGAGCGCCCGAAGAATCTATCTCCCCGGGCTACGCACGCGATGCATTTCTAAGTATAGTGCGAGACAAAAGGTTACAACGCAGCAAGAATTCCGAGCCGTGCGGTGCAATTGAGAACACGGACGATATCATGTCCTTCTCCTTCGTCATCGCTCGTGAACCTGGCGCGAGTGTGGGTATGGCGGATTTCGTCGACCCTCTGGACAAACGCTGAGATACTAAATCGGAAGGAGCGGCACCGCCAACGCCAGCACCATTTCAGTTGTCCGATCTCAAGGTGTTGACATTATTCTAAGAATCACGCAATGAAAACGAAACACACACGGGGATTCCGACCTGGGGCGGATACAATGGGTAGATGGTGCCGTGACTTCCTGGAAGGACAACGGTCGGACAGCCGTTGGACTGTGCCCGACTACTCGTCGAACCCGCGCTTGAGTCCTGAGGATTACGGTGCAAGCGGCGGTACAACTCCCAACAGCACCAGCAACACTTCCTCCTGACGGCGATCAGGGACATCTCGGTCTGGTAGAAAGGTAACGCAAGAATGCTCAATAATGAGGCGCAGTCTAAAGTTACGGAGACGAACCTGGAATACCCTTAGGAGAATGCCTCACCTCCATCACCAGTGCCAAACATCCGCTTTGTCTCTCTTCTCCGCACCCCTGTCCCCCTAATACATCGTTCTTTGCTCTCCTGCCTCTTCACCACCCTCTTCGCCTTATTTCATCCTACTAGTCAGGTGTACGAGTCTAGTGGCAGCGGAGGGAGAGGGAGTGAGAGGGAAAGGGAAAGAGGTGGGTGAGAGGCCGATATTTTTTGGAAGGGAATGGATGGAGAACGTGTTGTTGTCGAGGATTGGGGCGTCTATTTCTATCTGATGTTGAGTGCCAGCGTCCACCGGAGGTAAGACAGCGGGTGTATATAACTAGATAGTGCTTTCTCAGTCGAGAATGCATACGGTTGATTTGCGAAAGCGAGGTCGAGTGGAGGAACGACATCCGAGTATACAGATGCGTGCTCGTCCGTAACTTTTGACTTCACTGTGGCGTAGAGCAATAAGGGGAGATACGAGGGGAAACCCAGATGTCGAGGAAGGTGGCGAGGCTTAGCTCTGGCACTGAGGAACAAAAGGTGGAAGCACAGGTAAACATGCGGATGTCAGAGGATGAGCGGTTTGTATTCGACATAATCCATAATTGGATGATAATGGAGAGAAGATGATTGAGAGGCGAGCATGAGTAGACTTGCGGGTCGTTATGCTCCAAGGAAGAATGAGCGTCGGGTTATTGGGCCGTTTGATAGGACGAAATGTCTTCGAAGTGGGAGAGTGGATGGTGCATTCCAGGAGTTTTGAGGGCCCAACAGGTCAAGCTCGAGCACTATCATACGTAGAGCGCGTGAGCAAAGGTGTACAGAATCTGAGAAGGAGTGAATAGTGCATACGATGTCGCGTTCAGGCGCGTCGAGAGATGCTGAGCCTAAGCACAACTCCCATGAATTACTACGAAAGAATGATGAGGGTGAAGAGCGTACTGTAGGGATCCATCTATTGTCTAGTCCATCCACTGCATCCGGAAAGTCTCCAACGTCGGACATGACTCGCTGCGTACACATTCGTACCTCACTCGATGGCGTTTATCGCTTCGAAACAAGACAGAGTATGAGTTAGAGTGGTCCGGTCGTCTTCAAGAAAGAATAAAATACCAGGCTTTCACAAGAGAGACAAAATAGGGTGCTGAAAGGGGCGACGAGCGTGTTTCGACGACGCTCCTTGTTAAGCGTCCAAGCGTTGAGTTACACTGTCACTAACAGTGCAGGCCTAGTGATATCCATTACCCCAGATCTCTCCTTCAAGATATTGTGTCGAGTAGTGGTGTCAAGATGCAGAAGGTCCACCGTTGAACTTGAAGAGGTCCTGACAAGGTCGTGAACTTGGAGTCTTGGACTCGGAGGCGGAAGGACGACGGGAACAAATCAGTGTGGCGAGGCCAGGCCACGCGGTCGACGCCACGCGAGCCATCCCGATCTGATAAGACTTTCTAAATCTCCAGCGCGCAGATCGTGCCAAGATCGTGCGTACTTTCCTCTCGTCTCTCATAACCTCATCGCCCTCGGTATCTCGCTCATGGCTATACTGGGTCTCCCTACGGCTTTGAAAGTGCTCTTACTTGACCTTTTGAGGTCTCGTTACTCCCGCCATGCACGCTTCTCACCCACTTAGAGGGAATCCGCTGAGACTCGTCAGGCTCAACCTCGAAGGCATTACCTCGATCTATCCTCCAAGTCTCAGGTTTGTTTGCTATTCTCATGGCATGACGATGTAGGGCTTCCAATCTTTCGTTTTTTATGGCTCTCCCTTCAATGGTGGTCACCGTTCGAGTGTCGGACGGTCACATCAACTTCGTGCTCCAAGTTTGGATCGTTAGGTCATAGGGAATGTAATCTGGACCTCCATTCGCAGTGAAGCTCATCATAATGCTCTCGTGGATTCTCTTGTGCTACTCCCTAGCGGAAGACAGTCGCGACCTATGCTTATTCTCATTATATTAGTGCGTTTGTCACAGATGCATTTAGTTGGGTCAACTCGGCCTTGGTCTATTGCCCCGATGGACGATCATATATAATTCCCTATTTCGTACTTTCAATGTGCCCTATTTTGGTGTGGAGCGAGACGAGACTTATCACCTAAAGTTTCGAGTCTGGCGGTTCGGTTCGGTTGTCATACGTCTCTCTTGCATTTTTGCCTCTTCCTCGACCGGCGTTCCCAACCTCGTACTTTGCCCAACTATCTGTCTCAACTCCCACTTCGACCTCAATCACTCGTGTCTGACCGCTCGATCACCCTCACACGCAGTATCGCGGCATACCTTCTACTCTGGAGAACCCTTTCACTTGCTTGGAACCTGTCTCCGATCTTGGTTTGTGTTATAGCGTTTGACTAGACGTCACACGACATCTGAAGAGGTTTCATATTCTGCACTTTACCCGTTTTCTAGAGAGAAATTGTATATGGTACGGCAACAGAGAGCGTATCGCTGTTTTCACTATTGTGGTGGTGGAAAACGCAAAGTACGCGTCTTCAGCAGATGGTCAAGAGACTTGCTCCACTCTCTCTATCTAGCGTGAGTTTAATATACTTTCTAGGTTATATTTCTCCACCACTCACGAGCTAGGAATGGGATATAACACAGAACCTTGGCCTGTCTATTGAAATAGGGGATGTCTGCGCACTGTTAGAAAATTTCGGCTGGTCATATGCAATGGATGTTGTGCTGAATATGCTCGTCGAGTCTGCCATCTTCCCTCATTTTCGTCTTCGCCTTGCTTCAGCCCACCCCCTCTGGCTTCTCAAATTCTGGACTCATTTGAATTCTTCTTCCTTTCGTTGCCACACCAGCTATGAGTGGCGTAAAGTCTGGACAGCAGAACCGACTCCAGTCATGAGGTAGGCCGGGCCGTAATGGTGTACGAAATCGGAGCCATCAGTAGGACCCGCTACTTATAAGCAGCTTACGCGCCTTCTTCTTCCCTATGTTCACTGAACTCGACCACGATGACCATGATCACTCACTTTGAGACGCACGGTAAGCATTGACACTCAACGATTTCCGATCATATGGCGACGATGTTCAAGTACTCGAGCATAGACGTTTGTTTCCCTACGTCGTTATCGGGAGACGGCACAGATGCGATGTGAGTGCGAACCATTGTATGAGTGACTGACCGTGCGTCAAGATATGAATCGTATGTGCGACTGCAGGAACACAGACTGCGACTACTCCGCCGCATATGTGACTCTCTACACTTCATCATCAACACTTGTCGGGCACGGCTTGACATTCACCATCGGCCGTGGCACCGATATTGTAAGCTGCTCGAATCATTTACATACATACCTGTACTGAAGCCCTGATGTATGGACTATGGACAGGTGTGTTCAGCCATCAAAGAGGTCGCAAGCCGTCTCGTAAATAAGGAGATCGAGCCTCTTTTCGCTAACATGGGGCAAGCTTGGGAATATCTAACCGCAGACTCTCAGCTGCGATGGTCAGCTATGCTTCTTGTGGAGCGCTATACGCTAACTCTGATATCGATTGGGGTCATAGGATCGGTCCAGAGAAGGGCGTGATTCATATAGCTACCGGTGCGGTCGACAATGCCTTGTGGGATCTCTATGCTCGCGCGAAGAAGAAGCCACTGTGGAAGCTTGTCGTGGATTTCACCCCGGTACATTTCGTTGTGGCTTGTTCAAACCTATCGTGACCCATGGTTATACCATCCCTAGGAGGAGCTGGTGAATGCTACAACGTTCCGCTATATCACGGATGCTCTTACGCCGGATGAAGCTTTGGAAATGTTGAAGGCGAAGGAGGCAACAAAAAAGGTACGTGAAGAGAAGGTACGCGAAGTTGGGTCAGTCGTTCACTCGTACTTCTTTTCTTGTCTATATATGTATTCATACATTTATTTTCGTATGCTAGATATCCTGCCTACGTCACATCAGCCGGCTGGATGGGTTTGTCTCCCGCTTTCCGCTCATTCTTCTCTATTCTTAGCGACTGACACTTCTCTACAATAACTCTCTAGGATACTCCGACGATAAAGTATCAAAACTAATGAAAGCCGCTGTCGCTCGTGGCTTCAATCACTTCAAAATGAAAGTGGGCACGAATCGACTCTCCGACCTTCGTCGCGGCAAGCTCATACGTTCCATCATCGACGACCCTCAGTATTTCCCTGAGAGCCGTTTGGTCACGGATCCTGGGGACTCATCGCTCGAGGGCAAGAATGCCGGTGGGACTGGGTCAGTGATTATGATGGATGCAAATCAGGTTTGGGATGTTGGGGACGCGATTGAGTGGACGAAGGGGTTGGCTGAGATTAAGCCATGGTGTGTTCCTCTTCCGCCTCTTCTCTGTGCATCGATGGAGGTGCTTACAGCCGCATTTGGAGGTTCATCGAGGAGCCGACAGCCCCAGATGATATTCTCGGACACGCCGCAATCCGTAAGGCTCTCAAACCCCACGGAATAGGTGTAGCCACGGGCGAGCATGCGCATAACAGAATGGTGTTCAAGCAGCTATTTCAAGCAGATGCTATTGATGTTTGCCAAATTGACGCGTGTCGTCTTGCGGGCGTCAGTGAGGTGTTGAGTGTAATGCTTATGGCTGCCAAGTATGTCGCATTATATTGTCTGTCAAACCAAGACTGACGATCTCTCTTCGGTACCAGGTTCGGCATCCCCGTCTGCCCACATGCAGGTGGCGTTGGTCTCTGCGAATACGCCGTTCACCTATGGTAAGCGTAGCCATCTCTTTTATCTCAGTCTCATGTTTACTCAGATGCTTCACCAATCGACTAACCAATAAACCAGTCTAATCGATTACGTCGCCATTTCCGGCTCAATGGAGCGCAACGTGCTCGAATTCGCGGATCATCTCCACGAACATTTCGTCTATCCGTGCTCTATTAGCGAACATGGCCGATACAATGTGCCAACTGATCCTGAGGGGGGATATAGGTGCGACTTTTTCTCTTGTTTTGGCTCTTTCAAGATCACCGATCGTATGGCTGCTTAGTGTTGAGATGCATACATCGAGTTTCGAGGAGTTTGGCTACCCAGACGGCTCGTATTGGGTCGAAACGGCCAAGGTGAAGGCGGATCAGTAAGCTGACGACACTGAACATCTCGTTTATTGATTTCTACGGGTACACGCAATGTGTCTGTGCGCTCGGAACGGGAAGCGGCATTAATAGATGTCTAAGGATGGCTTTGGCTACTACTTAGAGGTGTATGCTGTTAGCTTGGTATCCATATCTACAGCCATGGACGACGAATTTCAGGGTCTTGATCAAAGTGTCGTACCAGGCGGAGATATTTGGTGCGCCGTAACGCGACATGAATTTTACCTAGTTCAGATCAGTACTTGCTATGACGAGCTTGTACGCCCAGTCAAATTAAGGTCTCAATGACTGGAAGCAGACGGAAACTGGTTGAGCACGAACGAATATCGTACAAGGATATGTTGGTTGGGTGACTCACCGATGTGTACGGTGTCACGGTCGCTGTTGATGACGAAAAAGCCGCTCTGGCTCAGGTCTTAGTGGCATTGGTATATACAATGAAAAGCCGAACCGATAAGCATGCAATACGTGACGACTCAGATTTAGTTAACGAAGACAATGTGTCCAATGGTGAAATGAGTACTCCGTAGGAGAGCTAGCATGACGAAAGGGGCAGCGAATAGTGATTCGACAAATATCCCATGACCGATGCCAGTCCCAGCTCCCGCATTTAATTGTCCCTTCCCACAGGAATAGATTCCACACCATCCCCGTCAACGTGAACACCAGGCTCAGAGGTAATTCGCCCACCGAAACTCCTCCATCGCGTATATGCGCCGTTCAGAATCAGCCTCTGCAATAAGTAATTCGACCTCGCTCATACTAGATTGGTGCGGATCGCTCGATGCGGGCGCGTACGTCTACTTCTGTGAAGCTTCAGAGTTGACTCTGCTGGAATGCGAACGCATAGCAGAGTATAGGTTCGACGCTAGTCTTAATCAATCCTGAAGCGATGCAGGCTGTGAATTTAGGCTCTGCAGGATTCGGTCAAGGACCCAGTCTCCCATGCGGCTGTGGCTGAGGATTCGGTGAAGCACTACACCGATTCCACCTCGAGTCCATAACAACCGCACCAGCAGAACGAAACACCCTTGCGAAGTAGGATACCGTGGGCTTATGACCTGAGACGGACGGAGGGCTAGGGACTCGGGAGATTGCTGCGACGGTGCAGAAATTGGGTATGAAGCGAACGGGTTCGTGGCGCCTACCGAAGGGATGGGGAAGGACGGTGAGGCGGCAAGAGCAATGTCGTTGGCAACAAAAAGTGTTTTCCTTAGAATTTGTGAAATGTAGGAAGGAAGGTCGATCTTCTTACAAGACACTCCAGAATCGACAGAAACAAACCATGTGAAGCGGGGTGTTCAGAGTGGCGGTTGATTCTCAGGACGTTTCAGAGAAGATTTTGGGACTCAGAATTGGACAGGTAAACGGTCTCAGAAGCCAATCGGAATCGACACTCTGAGCTCATTGACGAGGAAACAATGGTGCGGGCCTGTCAGAGTGTGCAAATCTATTCATCGGACGAAATAATCACCGTGTATCACACGGCTTGTCCTGTCCCAAACAGGGTGAGTTCCTCCGGCAGCTCCACGTCGGGGACAAAGGGGAATGGGCGATGAGCTGGCAGAAGAGTGACACAGTCAGATCTCGATCCTCCAAGCTACGGCGATACAGCAAATGAGGGGAAAAGGCGACTCACGCTGTGTCCATCCAAATAGTAACGCTCCAAGCTCCTGCCTCTCCTTCAAGGTGGTATTCTTGTCCACAAGCTTCGCAACAATCATGTCACTTTCTCCCCGACTAAGTAGATCTCCATCACCCTCCGATTCATCGTCAGTTATATCCTCGTCGTGTTGGAGTTGACCATCCTCCTCCATCTTATCATTGCTAGCTCTACTACCGGCGGGCATCCCGTTGTCCTCCGCCTGTCGAGTGTCAGGTGCTCGTTGAGATGTAGCTGCCATGAGGGGGAGAGAAGCGATGGCCGGAGCAGCTGCAGGAAATGGCGAAAATGAGAAATTTTGCGGTAGGTGATAAATCAGGTCGTAAGCCTTGAGGGTCAACTCCGCGAGCTCAACCTGGCGGGCCGTCAGTAGAGTAAAACCGTACTTGTCGCGGTGGTGTGCGAGCTTTAACCCCGCGTTGAGGATGAGAAGGAATGGATTCACGTTGTCGCCGTCTACGCGAGACGTGTGGAAAAAGGGAGGATACGGCGCGGACTCAGGTGCAGGGTCGAGCGAAGACTCAGGCGCAAAATTGAGTTCACGGAGTTCGCGATTGTTGAGCTTCCAGTAGCTATACGTTGGCGGTGTGCGGGTTTTCAGGGTAACGAACGGCTGTTCGCGTGGAAGGAAAAGGAGCGGGTGGAGAAGTATGAGGTCGAACTTCACGGCGATTAGGGCGGGGTTCGCCCACTGAGGAAATAACTGTCGTCACCGCGCATGATTCGCCGGCAATAGGGCATAAGCTAGGACCCGGGTTTATAGAGGGGGAGGTCGAATACCAAAATCGATGATTTTCGGGGTTTACTGGGGGATTCCTTATAAGGAAATCCACTGGGGGATGGCGCCTCCGACCTCGACTTTTTTCGGTCGGAAACTGGGGGATTGAGGAACCGGAGGCCGGCCGAAGGCCAAAAATGGAATATTAATCCAGATTTGGTAGTCCCACTGGGGGATCGGGATCCGACCTTCGCTTCCGGGGCCGAATCCCGCTGGGGGACCATCCTACTAACGTATCCAACCTTCTACCCTCTGGACGGTTCAGAACTGGGGGATTAGTATTCAACCTCCCCCTCTATAGACCCGGGTCCTCATAAGCTACGTACAGTAATGGTCCGGGGTGTCTTCTTCTGTCCCAACTCATTTACGGCGTAATCCCAGACTTGGTTGGCTTCTTCTAAGATCTTGACCACTTCTTTCAGGGAGTCCTTACTTAACGTGATAACGTAGGTGGCATACAAGTCCAGATGCGTGTGCAGCGACGGACTCACTGTATCACTTGTCAGACACACACTCAATGAAGAGTAGAAGTGGGAAACGTCATACGAAGAAAGGAGTTCTCTAAGCTTTCCAGCGTAAACGATCCAGGATTGCGGATAATAGTGAGTACATCTGTGAGGATATGAAGCTAGAGGGCGAGGTGAAAATGAGTTTTGACGGGGATGTCATGGAGCTCACCACATTGGGAAGTCGTGATGGATCGCTTTGATCACGAGCAGCGTTCACGATGTGGGCAGCCTGGAGAGTCAGATCGCTCATGCCAGTGACAAAACAACCTGGATCGTTCCTGAATTTTTCTTTCTCCTGGTTCACAGCGCTGACTTCTTTGATACGCCTTCTCTTGGTCGAGGTCGAACCGTGCCCAGTAGGTGTCGGCGAGCTGAGAGGCTGAGGCATATGTTCGTTAGGGATATCAGGAGTGTAAGGAAACTTAGAAGCTGCGGTGGGCATATATATCTTGTAGCCATCGATGACCTTCGACATGATGGGCAAAAGCACAAGTGGAAGACGACCGAGAGAGGAGGAAAGGCCACAACGCCAGTGATGGTTTCCCGGCAACTTCCGAGTGGCCGATGCTCCCGCTCGCTTTCTCGTCATCGATGCGCTCATACCATTCTCCTATTACTCTCCATAACCCTCTCCTAACGTCTCTCTCTTGATTCTACCACCATCATTCTCAGCGTGCTCAGCGGTACGGACAAAGCAACATCTGTCGTCGCCGCCTTCGAGGCCGGCAAGCAACCGTCACAAACCCAAATCAACGCCTGGATCGACCTTCTCCGGTTACAGCTCATTCAGGTCGAAAAGACTGACAGCGGAAGCGAGTTGAGCGAGAATGGGAGGAAGCTAGCGCGAGATGCGAGGAACGTTCCCGATGCCTACAAAGCGTATGTACGAGCAAGAATAGTACGTCATCATTTCATTCATCGTTCCTTCGTCCTTTCCGGTTTCAGGCTTGTTCGAGCGGAGTAGATGGACATATATGTTCGCTTGTATTGAAGGTTGCATTGCGCGAACCATCATCTATCAGTGCATTGATCACTTGCTTGACTTGATAAAACTCGCAGATGGTACGCCTGCGAGCTCGAGCGTCCACGACGTATAGCTGCCGTTCGGGATGCGCATACTGTACCATTTCGACCTTATGTTCACGGGGTGTGACCTGTGATGCTGTGAACTGGGCAAAATCGTAGTTCACGTCGGTTATTCGGTGGCTGTCCGACTCCCCCTGCTGTGACTTCGAGTTCATAGGCGGTCCAAAATGACCTTATACGTCGCGCCGGAGGCGCGAATCGAAAAATATTGATTTTTAAAGGGTGTTTTCTCAGTTCACAGACCTCTGTGACCTGTGACCTCTTGGCGCTGTGGGGGTGTCCGTGACGCGTGACTGAACATAAGGTCGAAATAGTACAGTATACCTACTTGGAATCAGAAGCCGCTGTGGCAGTGATATTACCGATATAACGCGGCTACATCGCCATCATTGCCTTCGTTCTGAAGTGTCGTTCTCGTTTATGCGGAAGATCGGATTCAAAACTCCTATCATCCCAGTTTCGCATCTTCATGCTCTTCGCTAATACTATCCCATTCTCAGCGAATCTTGTCCCGGAATTTATCTGGCACCTCCGCCAAGCCGACATGGCCTCTCCTTCCTTCGATATAGACCTCCCCATCAACACCAAGAAAAAAGCCAACTCAGATTATGGATCCCTCGTCTCCTCCAACTCCAACTCCAACTCCCCCTCTATCCTCTGGTCAACCACAACATCAGAAGGCTCCGGTGTCTTCTCCGATTTTGCTTCGTTCATGCTTCTTGCGATCGCGGACGCTGTGGAATCTTTGGGTGATACGGCAAAGAGTGCGGCGGAGAGTTTGAGGGAGGTTGAGGGAGAGGTGAGGGATGAGGAGAGGGATGTGCATCGGCAAAATCGCACAACTCTAGCGGAGTCTTCCGGATTCCTTCCGACTCACCGGAGCTGTCGATTGCCACTAAGTTCGATTTCAGAGTGAGCGTGTACGGCGGCGTCGTATGCTCCTCGAGGGCGGCCCACTATCAAATAATGTCAGAGATAAAGGATGGGAAAACGACGGGAGAAAGCACGCACAGTAGTCCAGGGAACCTCTCCAATGTTAAAAAACTTATCATATCCCCTTGCCACAATCCTATACTCCCTCTCCCTCTCTCCCTCTGCCTCCTCCTTCCCCTCCTCCTTCTCCTTCGTATCACCCCGCCCATCCGTGACATCAACCGTAAACAGTCCCCTCGCCAATGTCGGGAACGGACTCGAGATATCATAATACTTGAACTCATTCATCTTCCAGCTCTCAACAACGATGCTCGGGTCCTCCGGCGCCTCATATTTCGACGAGCGGACAAGTTTCGGGGACTTTTCGTGTAAGCGGTGAAGGGAGTTGATAAGATCTGAGTCGGAGGGGTTGTATTTTTGGGGTAATGCGGTGGCCATGGTTCTAATGCTGATGCTGTTTTTCGTTCTGGGTATACGATGAGTGGTGGTTATAGTCGAGATGAAGTGTCGTAGGCTGTGTAAAGATATACTGCTATGGACAGTACGATGGTGGGCGAAGACGAGTGGGGAGAAGCGACGCGAGCATAGGCCTGACGTTTTGAGGGCTGGCGAGCACGGTGTGAGTCGGATCGTGACTCTGAGAATGACTCGGTGAACGACCGCGTCGAGCTCGAGTCATAAAGTCTACTACGTACAATTGGGTGCGAAGAAAGTAGGTGCACCGTCCGTCACAGCTTTCCCAGACGACGCGAGAAGAGGCTGGTGCCCAAAGTGAGTTGGGTGCTGTTGCGTCGCGTAGAGAGCTGTCAGTCTGGGACGAGCACAATGCACCATCGAGCGCTTTGGCCCGTTACCGGCGCTGTACGACCCCGACCCACGACGTGAAGGCATCTACGGGATGCCCTAGATGTAGGCAGTCGCCCCGTACCAAAATAACTGCGCATCAAAAGGGAAAAAATCGAGTGGGAGCCGTTTAGGCTGGGGGGACGCCATTTCCGCCAAAACGTCGAATTCTCGACGAGAAAAGGCCGCGCGGACCCCAAACCTGTTGCAGACACAATCTATGGAGTACAAAGAGGGCCTCAACGCAAAAAAAGAAGAGATCAAAAGGAAAGAAAAAAAAAGCGCACCATGGTCGGAGGCGCACAATGCCCCTCTAGGTACCCCACAAACATCGTTCGTGACGGAGCGCGACCGGTTATCGTCGACGCATTGATCGGCAATGTTATTGGACGTTCATATAAGTATTTGGAGCCTAAAACGAAGGTAATCGCACGAAAAATGAGTGAGTTACGCTAACGTTTCGGTGAAAACGGCTATAAGGGGTGACTTACCCCCAGAAAACACAATTCCGAGCGCGCTATGGCTTCAAAAGGCGACGCCATGACAGCTACAGTGTTTTATCAATTGGGCGAGTCACATTCAGCAAAAAAAAACCGGCCAGCGAACCTTGAATTCCCAATCGCGCGACACTTACAGGTAGGGGGTGGCCCACCGGCGAAATAGTCGATATCTTCACCTTGAGAGGGCGCACCGGCCCCAAACAAGATGTAGACACGGTATACGGAGTGTATTGAGTGACGTAAAACACACAAAAGAGCAAGAGAAAAGGAAGATAGAGAGGCGCACCATGGTCGCTAGGCCAGGGAACTGTCCCACGCTGTCAAATCGGCGCCTATTTGACTCAGTCCTTGGCGGGAGAAACTGTTCCTCACCTTTCTGGTTTTGTGTTAAAAAAAATGTGTCAATGAGAGGGTATACCTGTCCCGCGATTATGATCCCATCACGAAGCAATTCGAACGAGAATTGAGCCAATGGGAACATATTTTGTGATAGGGGACTTGAAGCCATAACTCACCGGGATGCTCGCCTCCGTTCTCACTCATTACTGGGTCGATTCGCATCTAACTTTTTGGGCCGCGGCTGTACCTAACCGCTCCTGTCATTTTGAGCCTCTGTGAAGCCCGATCAAGCAGCAAATGAGCAAACACAAACGAAAATTCTAAGAGGAGCGTTATAAGGCAATGACTCACCTCAGAGATTCACATCGATAACTTGCGTCTGCCAAGGTGGTGCAAACGACCGCGGACGGGGACCGATTGACCATATGTAGACCGCCATTTCGAGCCACATAGCTTGAGAAACGAACCGCAAATGAGCGAGAACGAACCGGGTTCCGAGGAGGATGGTACTGAGAATGAAACTCACCCCACCGTTCGTGCTCGTTATAGACGATGCGGGGGTAGTTTCTCTCCAAATCTTAATTGGAGACGAGAGCACATACCTATGCCGTCCTTTCGAGCCCGCAACCGTAAACATCGTAGCATATTTGAGCAAACGCGAATTCATTTTCGGAAGAGGGCGGTATGGGTGAAAACTCACCAACATCGTTCACCTCGTTCTCATCGTTGAGTGGGTCATTTCCGTCCAAACCTTGATCAGGGCTAGTGCGCCTACCTCGATCCTTCATTTCTAGCACCCTATATTGAAGATAGAACGTCAAATGAGCTAATGCGAGCACATTCTCGAGAAGGGGTGATACCATCGAAAAGTCACCGATCTATCTCGGCTCGTTCTCGAGGGTGAGCGGGTGTTTTCCTGCCAAACCTTTTTCAGATCTCAAAGCGGTACCCTCCGCCGTCATTTTGAGCGCGCTACATTGAAAATCGGCAGAGAATTGAGCAAATGCGGACAGACATTTGAGAGGCATATATGGGGGACGAAAACGTACCAATGTTACCATCCTTATTCTCGACAATAGGTGGGCCTCTTTCTATCAAACTTTCGTTGACGTCGATGCACCTGACCCGTCCCGTCATTTGGAGCCCATAACGTAAGAAATCGAACCGATACTGAGCAAACGCGAACATATTTTTGTGAATGGACTATGGGAAGCGAAAGCTCACCGACGGGTTTGTCCTCGTTAGGAAGGTTCTGTGGACCGTTGCTGTTCAGATCTATCTTGACAGGTACTGACTGCGCACTTTCTGTCGTCATTTTGAGCCCAAAATGTCCAAGATCGGGCGTAAAATGAGCGATCGCCAACGTTTTCACTAAGGGAGGATCCCTGCAGGCTCCGAATCTCTACCTATCCTTTCTGCTGCTGAAAATCAACCGGTTTAGCTGAATTTGAACAGTCGCCACAGCTTATGGAGCCCAAACGGCTCCTCACATGGGTTGGAACACATGCCGTGAGAGAACGAGCCGGATTGAACAATACCCTAGAAATCTTTGGCAGACTCAGTGTTTCCTTAGTTACCAGCGAGCGTAGCACAGTCCGAGCACTGAGACCTGGATGAAACCATTGACAGAGAGACAAATATTCAAACACAGAGAGACAAAGACAGCCAGACCAAAATAAGCATAGACTACCACGCAAAAAGACATATGTATCCCAAGTCCTTCACTCACCGTTGCGACATCCGTGCGGAAGGTGGCGGTTGAGAAGAGAGGAAGGCGGCAAATTCCGGTGACTGCCAAGTCAAACCTAAAGCCACGGTGGCCCATAGTGGAATGACAGAAGTGTGCTAACTCTGTGAAATGAGCGTCTCCAGGAGCAAAACGATTGAGAGATAGGTCCGTTGCTGAATCATATAGCGCAAAAGGGACAGTTTGGCAGCGAAAAAACACAGTTATATAAGTAAATGACCGTGGGAAATAAACGATAAAATCGATTTTTTTTGGGTATTTACGTGTCAATTTTGACGGAGGCGTAAAATAAATGAGGGGGCGAGGGTTGAGTGTCGGTTTGAGCGTGTCGGGATGAAAAATATGGCAGAGATGTTTGAGAGCGTCGTGGATAAGGTCGAGTGGGTGTGACGAGGACGTGTTTGACGTGTTGGTGGAATAGAGCGTGTTTGTGATGTTTTCGAGGTGTGTGAAGGTGGTGAAGATGACATGTGAGCGTGAGAGATGGAAAAATGGACAGAGACGTGGGTGAGATGTGATAAGTCGGGCAGAGTCGACGTGAGCGAAAATAAGAGCGTGTCGGATAGGAGCGTGTTTCGGGATGCAGGAGACGTGTTTTCGGTTAGGAGAGACGTGGAGAAGGAAAGGATTGACGTGGGAGTGACGTTTTTTTGGGTATTTACGTGTCAATTTTGACGGAGGCGTAAAATAAATGAGGGGGCGAGGGTTGAGTGTCGGTTTGAGCGTGTCGGGATGAAA